AAAAACTCAACAGTTTAACTCTGGGGGAGTTGTAAAATGAGCCTATTTCCAAAAAAAGTGGAGTATCCCTTTAAGTTTCTTAAACTCTTGAATATTCGTCAAAGATCCAATGCTGTGAAACTTGCAAACTTTGGCAAATTCAGTGACTAGTTGCTCGTTTGTTTGCTGTATCAGCCAGGGAACTAAGCCCCTTTCACACAGAGATTCCGGAAAATACACGGATAAAGTGACCCGGGATATGACCCGGGTTCGTTTGATTTTGCTTCATTCACACTGCCAGTGATTTGCCGGAATCAGAGAGCGCATTCACACACAACCCGTGTATGTTCCGGAAAGACGCGTGACGTTGGATGTGACGGGTCTCTACTTCAGTCCAGTTTGCAGACATTTTTTCGTTCTTTCTTGTATCGATGACGAACACAAACTTTCTTCTAGAGTAACTGAGCCGCACGATAACTACGTCATTGCAAAGGCTCGTGAATCCTCACTACGACACACCCCTTATACGGCATTGGTTCTGGCTTTTGTTCACACAGCGCGCGTTCCGGGTCGTGTTTGCGTTCACACAGAAGGCACTCTGGCAATTTGCCGGGTTCAAAGCGCTGTGTGAAAGAGGCTATAAAGTTGGCATGAATTGAAAATTCATATATTTTCTAAATGCATATGTATTGTGAACTCATGAGCATGTTTCTTTCTTTCTTTTTTTTTAAAACCTTTTTTATCAATTTCATTACTGGATCTTTCAATGAGACTACAGACTTCTCTCTGGTGTCGCATGCAGGACTTCTCCAATCGTTTAGTCAAGCTCGCATTCAGGTCTGCCTCCATCTAATCATCTTTTTCGAAAATCCATTTCATTCGGATGTACATCACAATACGGAAGAAAAAATCTGTCGCTTTTTGCGTTTCATCACGACCTGTACACCCTGAATATCAGAAATGACGTGCATCAGAAAGTCTGTGTTCGATTCCAACTGAAACTTTAAAGCTCTCTATAGGATGTTAAATGTCAAACAACAAGACAGCCTTGACATTTGAAATGGCACTGATGAAGAAAAGAGGAGAAAACATTGTGCCATCAGAAACATCAACTGGCTTTTTGACAGAAATTTTAATGATCTGTTTAGGGAATCAGGTCTACTTTTTTCTGTTGAAAGTGTAATTTTAGTTATAGTAGCCTAAACACATTTAGAAACGTTTTATTTATTTATTTACAAATAACCTTTAAAGACCTGAGACCTCTATGAATTCTGATCCAAGCTGTTGGTTTGTTCTTTTGTGTAAACGCTTTTCTGCTGTCTAGGGGAAAACTTAGGCTTGCTTGCCTTCAGGTATTTTAAGAGACGATTTAAATCATCAAGGCCCTGAAGAAATGAAAACAATATCTCTTTAAGAGTAGGAAAGAAACATTAGCCGTGTTTCCGTTACCCTTCAAATTGCGCAAATTGAAATTACGAATTGAAAATGCACACAATGGAAACTTCGCAAAAACTCCCATTTATCGCAAAAAAGTTTTTACGCTCGCATAAGTTTTTTTTTCAGGCAATTCGAAAAAGGAATATTTCGCAAAACTACAATGGAAACAGTTTTTGCGCATTTACAGGACACCTGACGTAGAAGACGCGGTGTGTTTGGACAGAATACGAGACAAGTTCTTTATTAAATTCATAAAAGAAAAAAGAATTACATGAATACTGGATTCTAAACCTCAAAGAAATGCCACAATCAAGTAGCCTGGGAAAACCCAGACAACTTCCGGCAAATTTAGATTTGCTCTGAAAGTTAGTCTGGCAAAGAGCTCATTCAAGCCCATTTCCAATCCGCTGAAATCGAGGCACCAATCAGAAACGTTGGGGCGGGCTTTACACGATGACGACAGCGCTGGGATGTTAAAGCAGATTTTGTAGCCTACATTACAAAGATGGATGCCGCCGTCGAACATCACTCGTTCGAATCAGCTATCGCGTCTGTTTTAAGCGATTTGAACGTTTCCTTTTAGTTAAAAACCGAGCAAAGAACAACACTCGGAGATGTTTCTCCGCCGCTCTGCATACGTCATCTCCTTCATCGCTCTGATTGGGTTTAGGTCTATCCGCGACGTCCATTGGTGACGCCCCTCTGGAAATGATGCTTTGCCAGACCATAACTCAGTTACAACTGAGAATGGTCTGGTTTTAACCAGGCTAACAATCAAGACCTCGGAGCAGAAATGAGGGGGAAACACAGAGAAACACCTCATATGTGCCGTTCACAGTGTAAGGGTCTCTCCTTGCCATTAATGCTTGGATAACACACACACGTCTCCTTCCATTTATAATAATAATAATTTCTAGTGCGGTGGCTCTGATATATATAAACCTACCAACGTCCGTTGCCAGTATTTTTGGAATGACTTATCGCGAGACGAAAAAATGACGTTTTAGTCGCATAACATCGGTTAATGGAAACGCCGTCATTTCGCAATAGTTTTTTATCGATATTTAGAAAAATCTGTAATGGAAACACGCCTATTGACTTCGAAGCTCAGACTTCCCATTGCACAGTAGATACTGTCTTTAATTCAAAATGATCAGATATCAAAAAATACTTAAATACCCTCTTGTAACATGAAATGCAATTAACGCAGTTGTGTAATTGAGCAACTTCCACCAAAAAGCATGTTTGGTTTGGTTCCCTGTTTGAAGTTTTGCATGACACACACGTCTCTCTCTGGGCTTCTCCAGCATTTCCACTTTAAGAGCTGCGTGTGCGCTTTCTGTGGAACTACAGCACAGATGGGTAAATGTCAATGAAATGTCCTGAATAGATCATCACCATAATGTGTGTCAGGACATAAGTCTCTCCGCTTCTCTGCTGTCTTCAGTGCTGCGTATTGACAGATTGCTGTGACATGATTAAAAATTCAAACTGTCAGATTAATATAATTTAAAGTCCAGCTGCGTCTGCGGGCGCAGAGATATTGCGCAGAGGTAGAAACGGTTTCGGTTCTCACCTTCAGTTAATGTTCCTTCTCATTTTCTTTCTAGCTGAGCAAAACCTATTTTTATTGGTCGGTCTTCATCAGCCTGAGTCAATGGACCAGACCCATGCTGTGAGCCATTTGACAAAGAAACATTTAAAACTAAGGGCCTGATTTACTGAACGGGGCCAATTTGAGACCGCGATCCCATAAAAAGTTCTATGGGTGATCTACTGACAATGTGCAAATTAAAGAGCTCATTTCCGTTATGACCAGTGCAATCTACCAAGAGCAGCGCAGATTGGCGATTGTTAAATGCTTTATACAAATTTAAAAAATGTTTGGGTTTTTTTTACACGCCACCCCGGGTAGGAATCACTGTTCTAGATCACTAAACCAAGGATTCTCAAATCATTTTTAGGAATTTGAACCAAGCAAATACCAAGTACTGTCCCTCTTTAAATAGACATAAATTGTAAGAATATCACTAACACTGTCGCGAGCACAGTTTAACGTCAGGACAGGAAAGTTTGTATTTCTGAGGTGAGAGACTTTTGATTTCATTATGAAAATAACGTTTGAATAATGACACTAGCTGCGTTTCCATTACCCTTCAAATTGCGCAAATTGGAATTGTGAATTGAAATTACGCACAATGGAAACACGTCAACTTCGTAAAAACTTCTGTTTATCGCAAAAAAGTTTTTACGCTCGCATGAGGTGGTTTTTCAGGCAATTCGAAAAAGGAATATTACGCGAAACTACAATGGAAACCGTTTTTGCGCATTTACAGTCACCTGACGTAGATGACGCGGTGTGTTTGGACAGAATACGAGACAGAGTTCTTTATTAAATTCATAAAAGAAAAAAGAATTACAGGAATACTGGATTCTAAACCTCAAAAAAATGCCACAATCACGACCTCGGAGCAGAAATGAGGGAGAAACACAGAGAAACACCTCATGTGTGCCGTTCACAGAATAAGGGTCTCTCCTTGCCATTAATGCTTGGATAACACACACACACATCTTCTTCCATTAATAATAATACCGGTACTAATGTCTAGTGCGGTGGCTGTGATATATATAAACCTACCAACGTCCGTTGCCAGTATTTTTGGAATGACTTATCGCGAGAGGAAATAATTACGTTTTAGTCGCATAACATCGGTTAATGGAAACGCCGTCATTTCGCAATAGTTTTTTATCGATCTTTAGAAAAAATCGCAAAAGTTTTGCGCAAATCTGTAATGGAAACACGCCTAGTGACATACAGCCTAACAACATCTCATCTGACAGCAGATACTGAATCAGGCATCGTGTTTTTCTCAGGCACTCTTTACTTAAACTGCGTCTGAAAGAAGAGTCAACAGCTTTCACGCATGTCTTCCAAAATAAAAGTCTTGCATCAAAAAAGAACATTTACAATTACATTGTTTGTTGTTGATTATTTTTGACTACACACTCCGTGACCCACTCAAACTTTTGTGTCGCTATGCATCGGTTGAGAAACACTGCACTAAATTAAGTAAATGTAAACTTAATATAAGCAAATTAGTAATTTTGGTATTTTTACTCGGATTGTTCCGGTGATAATATAATTAGTAATAAAGTATTAAACTTGAAAAGAATGCAAAATAAAAGCATTTTCAATAGTGGTCTCCAAGTGAACTCCACTGTATACATATTTACTAAAAAAATAATGTACATGTAAGTGGACTCTTGCTTCATTTAGCTCAGATTCAACCAATGTTCTCACACATTTGCCTTTTTTTTTACGAAAAGGCAGAAACGATACGAGACGTGTGGCTTTATTCTCTCTCTCTCTCTCTCTCTCTCTCTCTCTCTCTCTCTCTCTCTCTCTCTCTCTCTCTCTCTCTCTCTCTCTCTCTCTCTCTCTCTCTCTCTCTCTCTCTCTCTCTCTCTCTCTCTCTCTCTCTCTCTCTCTCTCTCTCTCTCTCTCTCTCTCTCTCTCTCTCTCTCTCTCTCTCTCTCTCTCTCTCTCTCTCTCATATCTTGTGTTTTTCTTCCTCTTGTTGTAGTGTTGTGGATGTCTGGGAGAAGGACATTAGCGTGCACCCTCTCCCCCTCCCGCAGAGCTCATGTGAGGAGCTCCAGAAGCTTCTGATGTCCAGCACCTCCAGGCTGCCAGCATTCCTGCGCTGCATGAACTCATATCAGGTCACATACTTAGTCATACTGGACTGCTTAGTCATTATAGTTCATTATCTCTGACTCCTTCTTTACATTACATTTAGCAGATGCTTTTATCCAAAGCGACGTCAAATAGAGGACTCTCAAAAAAGCTTTTCATCCTTAAGAGACAGTAATGAGAAACACAATACAAAGTCTCAAAATTGCCTAGAAAAGTACAGACTAGCGTAGCAATGTACTGTAGGCGTGTGACACAATAAATGAAATAGAGCTCTGCGGTGATTATGTATTTTGCAGTCTGTAAGTTCGCATCACCCTGGAGAGAAAAAAACCAATAGGATTTTTCCATTGGCTTTTGGAGAGCTTAATTTTAGCTATAAGACTTTATTATTCTTACACGTTTTGTTCATCATGATCTTAACAAATGAACACAGATTTTATCAATTTTGAAGCCTATTCGGCAGAAGTAAAAAGCTAAACGTAGGCTGTAAACGAACTACATCACGTTTGCATGATTTCAATGTCACCACCATTTCTGACAGCTCTTTCAGTCTTTATTTAAAAAAAAAAAAAAAAATTCCCTGAAAGTTTGAGTTAGAATAGTTTGTAAGAGTGTGATTGTAAACTGCTAAAGCAACTATTGTGTAGATGAGTTTACCTGTCCGGCGTGATGACGTTTAATGTCCAACAAACTCTGTAGTCCCATTTAGCCACTTGTTAGCAGCTTCCTTTTTCAAGACAAGTAAAAATCACAAGGGGGCAAAATATCTTGAGCTTCTGTTAACCACAGACCTTATTTCAGGTATTTAACCAAACACCCATTAAAAAAACACATTGACTTTAGGATGATGGACCTGGAAGTGCTAATGATAACTCATTTCTGGGTTTTGGCCTACAAAAAATACATAATCTCAAAAGCACTCTATAAAGAGAGTTTAGTGATGTTGTGTATTTGTTGTTAAATTATTTGGGTGAAGGAATTCTGGTTTAATTGTTAAATTGCATTGATGTATGTAGTGCATATCGAGAAAAGGAAAGGGCCAAACACCGAACCCTGAGGTACTCCAGTGGTTAATTTATGTGACTTACACACTTTTTCCTACTAAAGTACTCTGAGATATCTGGCTTTGAGGCAGAGCATGTGAACGGAGCAGAGCGGTAATATTTCCTCAGGAGCAGAGAGCGACCTTCTACAGATCCCGCTCGCTCAACCCAGAATGCCCTTTGTGACATGCTAGTTTGAGAATATGTGAAATAAGCAATAGGTCTAACGTTATGGAGTGCAAATATTGTTATAATGAAGTTATGAAGCTTATACATATAGCAAATGCACTGTAAACATCACAGTTAAGAGCGAAGGAGGAGGAGAAGATATTGAAAGGGAGTGGAGTAAGATATACTGTACTCAGCCACAGCAAAGTTCTTTTTCATTCTCTGCTTTAATGAAATTAGAAAATGGTTAAGATATTTTTGTTTTATTCAGTTATACATATGTTCTCATATAGATTATTGACATTAGAACAAAATATATTTTGTTCTAATATAATAATTTCAAGATTATTTTGTGAGTTTGGTGAAGTATACTAAAAAACAAATGTGTCCCCCAAATTCACCAACAACCTAATCAGTTTATATGTAAAGAAATCTTAGCATCCCGGACAGAGATGAACAGCTTGAATGGGAGCGAACATCGTTTTACTGGTGAGCGTGAGCTGTACATGAGTTAAGTGTTTGGTTGGGGTGTTAACGATTGAGCCGGACAGAATTATTGGTACCTCTGGTACATATGATCAAAGATGGCTGTAAAAATAAATCCACATTGTTTATCTTTTTGATCTTTCATCTAAAAAATCGTGCAAGAAATCTAACCTTTTATTGAAGTTAAACGATTAAAAGTGGGGGTAAATCACATTATGAAATAAATTATTTTCTCCTAAACACATTGGCCACAATTATTGGCACTCTTTTATTAAATACTTTTTGCAACCTCCTTTTGCCAAGATAGCAGCTCTGAGTTTTCTCCTGATGAGTTTGGAGAACAAGAGATCAGAGACCATTCCACCATACAGAATCTCTCCAGATCCTGGAGATTCCCTGATCCATGTTTGTGCTTCCTCTCTCCAGTTCACTCCACTCATCAGGTCAGGGAACTGTGACTGTCATGGCAGAAGCTTCATTTTGTGCTCAGTGACACATTTTTGTGTTGATATTGATGTTTGTTTTGGATCATTGTCCTGATGGAAGATCCAACCACGGCCCATTATAAGATTCCTAGCGGAGGCCGTCAGGTTTTGATTTTATATCTGCTGATATTTGCTAGAATCCATGATGCCATGTATCTGAACAAGATGTCTAGGACCTCCAGCAAAATAATTAGACCCATAACATTAAAGATCCAGCGGTATATTTAACCGTGGACATGGGGTACTTTTCATCCCTGTTTGCTCCAAACACATCTGGTGTGTTTGCTGCCAAAAAGCTCTTTTTTAGTCCATCTGACCATAGGATCCGGTCCCTTTTGAAGTTCCAGTCGTGTCGGACAACTGAATATGCTGGAGTTTGTTTTTGGATGATTTTTCTTGAAACCCTCCCAAACATGATGTAGGGGTTGTTAGATTTTTATTTTTATTTTATTTTTTTATCTTTCTGACCCCAACTAATCACAGCAATTCTCCTTCTGTGATCTTTGGAGAGTCCTTGGCCACTCAATCTTTCCTCCTCACCGTGCATTAAGACAATATAGGCACACGTCATAACAGATTCATGACATCTTTAGTTGATTGGAACTTTTTAATAATTGCCGTGATGATGGAAATGGGAATCCTCAATGCTTTAGCTATTTCTTTTTACAGCCACTTTCTATTTTGTGAAGCTCAACAATCTTTTGATGCACATTAGAACAATATTCTTTGGTTTCACTCATTGTGATGGGTTATTAAGGGAATTTGGCCTTTGTGTTTACTCACATTTATACTCCTGTGAAACCGATCACTGATTGGTCAGAGAGAATTGTCACTACCAGCTTCATTGGATTTGCGACACGAGACACCAAACCTGAACAAACAAACTTCTTCGTCTTGCAGTGAAAAACATCCACAATCGTGAACACCATTCCATCGATATGCTCCATTGCTCCTGTGTTGTGTGTTTGTTTGTGTCGCGTTTACGATGATGTCAGTAGAGGTGGCTAAACTATAACGATCAGTCTATAACCCCACCCACATCCTACCATGCAGTGGAAAAGCACCAATAATGTGATCCCCCACCCCACACACACACACTAGAGTGCGGATCGGGCCGCATTTTTCTGTCCGAGCCCGGCCCGCGTCCGACAGGGCAGTAACCGAACCCGACCCGAGCCCGACAGGCATTAAGATATTTATGTCCGAGCCCGACCCGAGCCTGACACAGTAAAAAAAAAAAAAAAAAATTCTCATAGCCTACTAATGACACGTACGTTTGTTTGTGTAGAAAGCCCGCTTTTATTTAGCAACTGGAAGGCATTCGGAAATGTTTACAGATGTGCGCAACGCATCAGCGTGCGCCGCACACGTCCAACAAAGTGCATGTTAACACAGGCGCGCACAATAGGCCCAAACAAATAGCCAATTGAAATGAAATGAACAAAGCTAGGTCTACCAAAAATTGCCCAAGTTAACAGAACAAAACATAAACGTAACACAAATGCAGCTTATTGAAATGAAAATCACTCGGTAACACTTTATAATAACTACACGCTAATAATCATTAGTTAAGCATTAGTAAACAGTTAATTCATCATTCATAAAACATTTATAGACATAAATAAGCAGTTTATAAATACAACTATAAATGCTTTCTTCTTGATTTACAAGCATATCTATAATTTATTTAATAATTGTATTTTCATCCTTTATTAATGATCAATTTATTATTTCTAAATGAATAATTGCATTTTTTATAAACCAGTTATTTAAGAGTTTTCAGTGGTTCATAAGATTACTTAGAACGTGTAAGTAAATGATTAATAAACTATTTAAATGTACATTCATACATCTTATTATTCAGACATATAGTGATGGTTACTTAGTGTGTTAATAAATGCTTTATTAACATGTATTTATGCTGTAATTCAGGGTTAATTCGGGTAGTTATAAAGCATTTAGTAGTGGTCAGTTAACTATGTTTATGAGTTCATCTAAAGTGAGGACTATTCATGCCTTGTAAAGCATTTATAAAGGAGATTTAAAGGCTGTTAAATATTTCTATGTTCTGTATCACTGTGTTGTGTTAGTTACATGTTACTGTTTAGAAGATTGATGCGCCTTCAAATCTCCTTTATAAATGCTTTACAAGGCATGAATAGTCCTCACTTTAGATTAGCTCACAAAATAGTTAACTAACCACTACTAAATGCTTTATAACTACCTGTATTTACTACATTTACTTACACTTTCTAAGTGATCTTATGAATGACTGACAACTCTTAAATAACTGGTTTGTAAATAATGCTATACTTCATTTAGAAATTATTAATTGATCATTAACAACGTATGAAAATACAATTATTAAACGCATTATAGATATGCTTATAAATCAAGAAAAAAAGCGTTTATAGCTGTATTTATAAACTGTTTATTAATGTCTATTAATGCTTTATAAATGATGAATTGACTGTTTACTCATGCTTAACAAATGATTAATAGCATGCAGTTATTATAAAGTGTTACCAATCACTCTTACCATTTTTCCTCGAAAACTGTGTGGCTAATAAAACTGTAACATGGGATCTATTCACATAATCCATCCTTCAATGTTTAGGCTGGTTTTAAAATCTCCTGAGGCCAACTTCTTTTTAACGTCTTCCATCGTTGCGCTGCCAGCCACATGTAGCCAAATATGCAATATTATGCACGCACGTGTTGCGCGTTGTCACAGCAACATAAACATATTTCCGCACACATGAAGATGGATGTTAGGGTAATATTTTAAATTTATTTTAATCACAAAAACAAACATTTGCATCCAGTTAAACATTATAATAAGCT